TTGGAAATGAATGAATTCAGCTGCTTGGCTTTAGAGACACAAAAGCAGAGGACATTGAGAATGAGAGAAAGAGACAGAGATTGGGTAAAATATGTGGGGCACAATTATGAGAAATGAGCGCCTGAGTTGAGACAGTTATAGCACTTTATATAGACGCGATATTGATCGATGCAAATGACGAATGACACAAATGGACATGAGTTGAAAGCGTTACGAGTCCAGGCTCAAACTCACCAGTGGCTCGTTGCTCTTGACGAGCTGCACAATCTTGATGGTCTCCTCGTCCTCGTCCATTTCGATGGGCACCTCCGGCAGATGCGGATAGAAGTCCTTCTGCGCAATGGCATCGTGTGCAAAAAGCAGGTGCTGCGGAAGACGGACTCCATTGAATTACATTTGCATTCGCAATTTCGCTGCCACCTTTGCTCACCTGCACGTGGGAGTCCTGCAGCAGATGAAATGCCTCCTTGCAGTCGTCGCTTAGATGACAGCGCTGCGACAGCTGCTCCAGCACCTCGTACAGCACCTGGGCCGAGGTGGACAGCACGGGCGCGAGACGCTCATCGCGGCCCACCTTGGCCACCTTTGTGTGCACATTGACCAAAGCATTCAGCTCCTTGGACTCCAGCAGGGCCTTCAGAAAGTCTATCTCCTGATCATTGGACAGATTGTCCGATTCCTTTAACGTGGTTATCAACCTTGAAAGCGCTGCAAGCGAAAGGCTTAGACTGGGCAGAGAGGGGGCATGTGGGCGGCACTTACCTGGATCCCAATTGATATCTGATGCCATAACTGCAGCTAGCATGCTACAAACACGCACACACTCGCAGCTACACTTGTTCCCTTCGACTCCTTTGGCACTTTATATCTGTAAAAGGAGAAATAGATGAGTGTCAGAACAAAATATTGGCGCCCGAGCAGGGACTATTCAGCAAAAGAGTCCCTGCTCGAGCGCCAGCAAAAGAGTCCCTGTTCGGGCGCCAGCATTTTCTACATTCTAATAATTAAGGAGCTCCCTTAATACGCTAAATGGTTTATTTGAATGACGTCTGGGGAATCTTACTATAACTTAGGTATATATCACAATTAGATCCATTAAAGATAAGAGTATCTTTTTGCAAGTTGTCAGCAGACAGAAGAAGCTGTCATTGAACAGAAGCAGTTCGAATAAACAGCTGAACAACTGACGAACTTAATAAGCCGAACCCCAATAGCTTTTGAATAACCAAAATCGATACTCAATTTGAAAGAAACTTATGTAAATTTGGCCATAAACAGAACAATATCCGAGTATATAAAGTCCGAGTAGATAAAGAAAATGTTGATGCGTGCTGTGAGTCAATTTTCCAAGGCAAAAGAGGACAAAGCAATATTCCGTCTCCTTGGAGCTGACTGCCAAGTCAGACAAAGAATTTGGCAACGGGTCGTATGTGTAATGCGTGGGTTTGTTAGACACAATTTAGCTTCAGCTGGCGTCTGGCTGGCGCACAAGAAGCCAAACCCCAGCCTGGCCTGTGTAAGAGCTTCTTTTGCCTGTGGCAAATGTCGCAAATGCAATTAGCTGCCATTAAGCCGGTTCCAACTGGGCTGCGCTCCAATTGCCGCTGATTTATGGTGCGCGTGGTTGTCTCCAACATGCCGCAAATTTATGGCCACTTTCATTGTGACTGGGCTTAGTCTGTTTTTGAGTCGAAAGCTGGCGCCGTCCTCGTTTAAGTGACAGGGCCCATAAATTAGACCAAGTACTGGAACTGAACAACAAACAAACATTGCAGCCGACTGCACTGCATACATTAAATGTTCAATGGCTGCGCTTCCTTCCTGTTGCACGTCCTTTGTCCTTTCTACTTTCTACTTTCTCCTTTGTCCAGCCAGCTGGAAAACAAGTTCTGCGCCTGGACAGCTGCCAAACTGTCCGGCACAAGAGTTCACTAACACTTTGTGTCCATAATGGGGCCTAAACCCTTTACCTATTGTTAGCTGCCACTCGTTAACACTTTACGGCCAAATGACCAAAGGACCTGACCTGTCGACGACGGGCTGCCCAGCTGCCCAGCTGGACTGGTATTGCTTAGTTTTTTACACAGCATAATGCATGACAAAATACTGATAAAAGCAGCGCTTATTCGGCTATTTATGAGCTGCAAACTTTTACCATTACAAAGTAGTGAAAAAAGAATGTGTTTATAATATCTTGTAGATATTTCGTACTAGTTACTCGCAGATCCATTTGGGATGCTAAAAAGGGCGATAGTTTTATGAGCTACAGGCTTTTGACCTGCTGAAGCAGGGAAAAAAGAATGTGTTCATAAACTTTTGTAGATATTTTGTACAAGCTACTCGCAGATCCCTTAGGGGTGCTAAAAAGGACGATAGCTTTGTCAGCTGCAGGCTTTTGCCCTGCTAAAGTAGTGAGAATAGAATGTGTTCATAAATTCTTGTAGATATTTGTGGCTTACAGTCTGTATATATATATTTAGGCTCAGGCTGCCAAGGATTGGCGTCAGGTGTCATAAATAGCTGTTGCCATGTTGATGAGCCCTAAATGACATTCGCATGCTATAATTTTTGAGGAATACGAATTCGCGGCACGAATAAAACTAATCAATTATCTGCGCTTGTTATGATTTGTATTTTGTATTTTGTTTTTGGTATTTGGTTTTTGCCCTTGACAGTGGGCAGCCCTCCCGAGTGGACACAGTTGAGGGACAGCTTATCGCTGTGCCAGCTGCCCAGCTGCTCAGCTGGATGAGGGTACTCGTATCTTTGAATGACCTTGAACTATATACTTGCGTGTACACACAATATGTCAAAGGTGGCCCAAAACAACATACTACAGCTGACTCGCCGTCAGGGCTACAATGCAACGACGTCAGCAGCGTGGGTGGCTGGGCGAGCGGGTGGTTACCCATTATTCTTATTGGGTGCAAGCATGTAAACTCTAAGCTAACCGAATGTTCCAATTGGAAATTTGCATAGTCAAAAAGTAGCACAGTTTGCGTAATAATTCATGATAGAATAATTCAATAGGTCTTCAAATAATATCGAAGATGTGGTAGTAGACAAACAAATCCCTCCAAAATCTTAGTTTGAAAACAAATACGTTTGAAAAAATACGGGATACGAATAGATCCGAAATTTTAGCCTTAACGGCAACTCAGCAATTACTTATCCAACTATATCTATTCTTGAAATAAGTATCTATGTTCTTGAATTAAGTATACAAATCAGTCAGTGTCTAGTAATCTGAGAAGCAGCTCAATTTTTGTTTCTACTATAATAGTTAAGTTATTTAGTTATCGTTACTTGAACTAAGAGCAATAGTCTTAAATTAAGTATACAAATCAGTATACAAATTCTAGGCTCCGTGGCTCTTTAACAATTTTTTTCTATATAGAAATCTGAGATGCAGCTCAACTCTTTGCTACTATAAAAGTTAAGAACTGCAGGAATATTCTCTTTTACTTTTTGTTTTTTTCAAGTGTTGTGAAACGACGCTGTCTATCAACTTGTCATTTGATAACACCAAATACATATGTGCATGTGTGTTTGTGTGTTGAGCCGCAATTACGCTAATTGCAAGAGGACTTGAGACCATGGGAAGTGCGTGTTTGCCTTCTTATAAATGCATGTGCTTGTTGTTGTTGTGCATAACGATACGTGTCAATGGGCGCAGAAAGGAAGTCCATAAGATAAGACAGGTAACACAATATGGGGAAGAGCGAGCGATAGGTAGGGCAGTCCTGAACAGGGGGGTTGAAAAATCACAAAACAAAATATATCACAGATTAGATCGCCTGCAGTTCACAAGAACTAGCTATTGTTGTACAAGGAAGTTCGCCAAATCTGGCAACACTGTCAGCAGCGCAGCGCGAGAGAGTGAGCGCGTGTAAAGAGCGCGCGCGTGTGTGAATGTAAGAGAGCGTGTAGGTGTGTGTGTGTGTGAATGTAAGAGAGCGCAACAACATATTCGAACAATTTTCATTTGGGATTTTAATTAACATTGAAAGTAAAACTGCACGCAGCAGCTTACCTGAGATCAAATGGAAATACGCGCAGTGGCTGTTGTTGTTGTTGTTGTTGCTTCTTCTTCTTCTTGTTTATGGTTATGTTGCATATGCCAAATGTTTTTTATTTAGTTTTCTTTGCTTGACGACAAAGTTGACACAACTTTTTGCAGCTTCTGCCGTTTGGCGTTTGTTTTATTTTTAAACAGTTTTCCACTTGGCGCACACACAGACAACCACACACGCGCTATATATAAGTGTGCGTGTGTGTGTGAATATATGTGTCAAATTTGTAGCTCAGTTTTTGTTGCTATTTTTAGTAAGCTTCACAAGGATTTCGGTTGAATTTGATTTGTTATTGAATCTGAGCTTCACCTGCCGTGTGGCGTGCTGCAAGTGCGGCTGCAGCTCGTGCAACTAAACTAAAAGCGGCGGCGGCAGCGCGTGCGAGCGAGCGAGACACTGTGTGTGTGTGTGTGACAGACAGAGAGAGAGAGAGAGCGAGTGCGCGCTGTCAATGTTCACGACGAGCGACTGCAGCGAGCGACTGACTCGAACTGTGGCCAAGTCGCCTGGCTAACTGTCTGGCTGCCCCATTCAGAAAAAAAGCACTTACAGACACATGCACACATACAGAGCACACACAGACACAACCACCATTAACAGCCGCAGCAGCGCCCGAGCAGGGTGGAAAGTGCGCATGTCAGCGAAACGCGCGAGTACAATCAAAAATACAGGGTGTCTCCTTACACATTGCTTTAGTTGATAAACACAATTATATTTTAAATGTTTTTTTTTTTTTTTGATAATATTTAATATTTTTATAAACACATAAACTTAACACTCCGCACAATCAAAGCTACAGGGTGTCCCATTACGCTAAACACATGAGCTTAACATAAATTTAACATAAACGTAACATTTCAATTTGAAGTTTTATTTGATAGGCACATGAACTTAACATACATTTAACATAGACTTAACACTTCAATTTTAACCAAGTAACGCAGCGCCGCCCGCACCACCAAGTACCCCGGCACCGCCAAAGCCACCGACCACCTTCTTGTCGTAGCGTGCGCGAAAGCCGCCGCCGCCAAACCCTCCGACGCCGCCGCCCAGGCCATGTCCCAGGCCGCCTTTAAAGCCGCCTCCACCAAAGGCACGCCCCCTGATGCGATAGCTCTCGCGATAGCTGCCAAAGCCGCCTCCAAAGCCGCCGCCGCCGCCCAGTGCGGCCAAGCCCAGCGCCTGTGGCTGCTGTTGTATGATGGGCACCTGCTGCACAATTGGCACCTGTTGCACCACCGGCACCTGCTGCAGACCAATGTCCAGGGCGCGGGCTGCCAGCGCAGCAGCACAGATCAGCAGCACTTGCAGATAGCAACTCATCTTGACCAGGTCGAGTTGAGCACGTTGTCTGACGCCGGCGGCGTAGGCCTTCGCGTTTTTATGCCGCTCGGTGTGGTGCGGTGCGTCATGCAGCAGATCTCCAAAAATCCCGACACCTATGCTGTGTTTGTACACGCATTAACCAAGGCGTCGCCATGCACGTGGCCGGGGCTGACCTTCACTCAGTTGTGATAGCTGCTGATCAGGTGTGAACTGTACACTGAGGAAAATATTCCAATTTGTTAAGCTCTATATATAAAAGTGACTGACTGATTGACTGACTGACTGACTGGCTGACTGACTGACTGATTGACTGATTGACCAAACTCAAGCTGAAATTTTCACTGTAGTTACCTTATGTGCTGCATGTGCACTTTAAAACGGGGTTTCCACAAATTCCACCCGCATTTGTGGAAAAAGAGCGTAAAGCGCGTGTTTCAGCTATTTGGGAAATTCCACCCGCAACAGTGCTAAATTAGCGGAAAACGAATGTATGAAAGTTTATTGTTTACCGTCCGAGGGAATTTATTCTATACGGGCCACGGGCAAAGCCGGGTAACACCCGCTGGTCTTACTTATATAGTATAGTATTCAACAGAGGTATTCCAGAACTAGGATAAGTGAAGTCTTAAACTGTTTCCATTTATTAATACGAGATTGCTCTCAGTGTATGATGGGAAACACATTTCGAGTTGTCCACGAACATGGACTTGGGGAATTTTGACGTCCTACGATTTGTGAATTGTTAGCGCAAACAGGCCAAAGCTAAGGCTGAGCCCCAAACAGACGTGGCCCACTAATTAATTTGCATAAATAACCCGACTTGGGTTGGGGCCAATTCAGTAGTTGAGCCCAAGATGCGACGACAAACGGTTTACATGCTGATCTTGGCACTTCTCGTTGAGTTGTTGGCGGCCACGCCCATTGAACTTGTGCGCAAAACGCGCCACATTGGCGGCGTCGGCGGCGGCATAGTGGGCGGTGGCTTTGTGGGCGGCGGCGGTGGTTACCTTGCGGCACCTGCCATACAAACGGTGCCCGTTATAAGCACGGTGCCTGTTATCACCACGGTGCCTGTGGTCTCAACCATTTCGACAGTCCAAACGATTCCCAGCTTTGGCTACGGAGGGGGCTATGGAGGTGGCTACGGAGGTGGCTATGGAGGGGGATACGGAGGTGGCTACGGAGGAGGCCTCGGTGGTGGCAGCTTTGTGGGCGGCGGCATTGGTTTCGCCAAGTTCAAAGGATTCGGCTTTGGCGGCGGCTTTTTGGGCTGAATAAAAACTCAAGTCTAAACCAATAATGAACTAAAGTGTTTCGAATTGTGGATAAATATCTGTGTGTCTTGACTTGATGATGCTGCAGTTTCTTTAGAGCTGAGCGTTTGCCTTTGTTCCAGCTTCATTTTACATTTTGTGCGCTATTTGTTTGCTTATGTTGTCATAACTCAAGCTAAATAAAACCAAACAAATATCAGCTCTTTAATGTGCAGTCTCCAAGTGCTTTTTTTATGAAAAGATCAGCGGCAGCTGTGCTTAAGAGCGAGCCGTGAATTTCAATTGGAGTAGACGGCAGTTTCCAATTTCGCTTTAGAGTGAATTGGCGCGTGGAATATGAGCGTATTTGAGTAGAATGTGTGTTGAAAATAAGAGACTAAAGATACATATGCGGGTGTATGGGATGGTTAACTAACTAAAAGATGGTTATCTATAGATAATTGTTGCCATTTTAGCTATTTTCTAGCCATGTCAGGCTATGCTCAGAGATGCTCAGCTGGAAGCAGCTAAAAGTATAAACCCATTTAGCTTTTTTCTTGGGCATCTCCTGTTTGTTTTCTTGCTAATTTCTGTTTAGAAAATTAATTGAGCTAGTTTTAGCTGATTTTAACATTGGTTAACTAACTAAAAGCTGGTTATCTATAGATAGTTATTGTCAATTCAGCTTTTTTCTAGCTAAGTTAGACTATTCTCAGATATTCTCAGCTGTAAGCATTCAAAATTATAAGCCCATTTAGCCCTTTTCTTGAACATCTCCTTTTGCCGATTTGCTCAGAAAAAAAATGTAGCTATATTTAGCTATTTTCAACATTGGATTTAGCTACTTTGACTGCTGCTCTAGGCCTCCATTCCACTGTGCACGTTCGCACAGACTTCCGCATCCATCAATAGCACTTTGTGCTCGGCCGAAGATTGGTTCAATTTCAAGTAAACAACTTAAGCACTCGCTTTTTGCTCCCAACAATAATTAGTTTTGGCTTTTGTGGTGCGGCAAAATAATTGTGAAAAAAAGAAGAAATATAAAAAACAAACCTTTCAATGACAATCCAAAAATGCCATTGAACTCCCGCTTTCAATAGCTTTAAGCCGCCAAATATTTGGCTATAAATTAAAGCGCCGCTGACAGCGCACTTTTATTCGGTTCTGGCTGTGAATAGAATGGAATACTCAAAGATCTGCCTAATGCTCTGCATCTGTGTGGTGCTCGGCGGTGCGGAGCCGGAGCAGCTCGAGCTGGAGGAGTCAAAGGCGCTGCCCGCAGAGCTGTTGGCTGCCGGAGACAATGCGCAGGCGGATGTGGATGCGAGTACTGATGCGGCTGCTCCTGCGGAGCAGGGCGCGCGCAAGGTGCGTCAGTACTTTGGTGGCCCGCCGCCGCCCTTCTTTGGTCCACCGCCGCCGCCCTACTTTGGTGGCTTTGGCGGCGGCTACGGCGGCTACGGTGGCTACGGCTTTGGCGGCGGCTATCAGCGCACGCGGATTGTCACGCGCACCCGTGTCCGTGGCGGCTACGGTGGTTTTGGTGGCGGTTTTGGTGGCTTCGGCGGCGGCTACTATGGTTAAAGTTTTTGCCATTTCTTTTGGCAGTTGATTTCGATTTGTGATATTCCCATTGTGCGGCACAGCAATAAATGTGTGATTTTATGTTTGTTTGAGCAATTGATGTGAGTTTTTATACCCTGTACGTGTAAGAAAGTGGCTAAAAGGAGTTTGATGTGGTGCAAATTTATGTAAAGGCACATTAAATGTATACTATATGTATATAAATAGATATATAGATCAGTGCAAAAGAGTTTAAACTTAACAAACACTTTCTTGTTTAATCGATACCTGATCGATAACTTATCGGTAACTGATCGATAAGCTCACTTGCCCAAAATCAATAATTATCGGCTTTGAACTGCATTTAAGCATTACTCAAAGAATGTATGAGCTAGTGGCATAGGGTAGATGTACCTACAGAGTATGTTGGCTACTGGGTAACTCCTAGTCGATCTCACTGGCCAATAGCACACATCTCAAAGCCCATCAAATGTATACATATTATATATATATATCAATTAATAAATATATATGTCTGTGAAAATCACTTTAAATTAAACAGACAATTTCTCGTATGATCGATATGTGTTCGATAACTGATCGATAGCCGCACTTGCCCAAAATCGATAATTATCGGACTGAAGCTGCGGCTTTTTAAGCATGACTCGAGGATTTTTAAGCAGATACAATTGATTTCCTGTTAATTTTTGTATGCATATGCAAAGGTACATACAAAGCTGATATGTTAGGCTGGCTACAGGGTAGCTCCTGGTCGTTCTCACTGGCCAAGAGCTCACTTGTTATGCATCATTGGGCTGAGGAGTGCCCGCGTTTTATGATGGGAAAGTGGTCAAGTGCCATCGAAGAGTTGTGCTTATAAATGAGTTCGACTTGGCTTAGTTTTGATTTGGGCTTAAAATGTTGCGCGTGATTTGCCTATTGCTGCTGCTGTGTGGCCTTGTCTCTGCCTTGGATGAGCTGGAGTACGATGCTCAGGTGGCGCCACCAGCTACGGGTAGGCCTTAAAGTTGCACAGTTAACTTTGCAGCTAAATAAACCCCATTTCCCATCACTTTGCAGCGCACAAGCCATCGCTGAATCTGTGGCGCGGCCTTGTGGGTCAAGTGCGTGAGGTCATAGGTCACTGGCGCGGCACCACCAAACGGCCACGCCCACATCTACGCAGCACAACGCCTGCGATCGAGTCGGATGCTGAGCTGCAGTTTTACGGCGCTTTGAATCCCATTTATCAAACACAAAACTTTTGAGTTTTACAATTAATACTAGAATTTGTTTACGAGCAATAAAAATATAAATGTAAGCCTAGGCATTAGAAATTTTTGTTGAAGAGTCCCTTGAAGCCGCCCAGGCCGCCTCCAAAGCCATGTCCGCCAAAACCGCCACCAAAGCCGTGTCCGCCAAAGCCATGGCCCAGTCCCAAGCCACCGAAGCCGCCAAACTTGCCGCCCAGGCCGCCGCCAAAGCCGCCCAGTCCCAGGCCGCGTGCCACACGCACGCTCTCCGCCTCCGGCAACGGCTGCTGCTCCACATCCAAGTCCACATCCAGCAGACTCAGCGGCTCCACAGGCGCTGCCCAGCTGCCGCTCAGGGTCAGCAGCAGGAAAAGAAGACTCAGCACGTTAAATTTCATTTTTTTTTTTGGTTTTAGTTGAGCTGTTGGCCGATTTGTACTTGATCTGCAAATGCGACAGATACATGCCTATATATAGAGGGACACATTGCTTCTGATCAGCTTCTTCTGCTCTGGGCGCGGCTCGTGCGTGTAGCTGCTAATTGCGTGTGTCCACAATTTGCAACTTTACTTGCTTCTCATACCAAAAATGTGCTTTCATTCATTGATTTTTTGACTGATTATGCGCTGTACTCCAACCGGGCGAAGAGAGTATATCGAGTGCGTGTCATCTTCGATTGTACACTGAACAAAATTGGGCGCGACTCAATCTAAGATATATACAACTTATATAGAAAGTGTAACAAATTCGGCAAATTTTCTTAATTCAATTCGAATTTACGAAAGAAACTACATATAAGCATTTATTACATTACATTTATTATATTTAAATAGCATAAAAGTTCTATTGTATATTCTTATAATCATATATTTCTTAATTGTCTTTCCAGAAAAACTGGACTTTAAATGTTGTATAAGGCTTGTATCTTCCGATCTTCTGACCTTCTACTGATTATAATAAGAAACACTATTAACGCTGTTGTTTAACACTGAAAACACAGCGCATCTCACAGTCGGTAAGTGCTAGCTTTATTTTCATTTTGAACCAAAGTTCGTTTGGGTTGGGTTAGCTTCTGGCTCTGGCTGGGTCTGGAGTTTGCTTAGGTCTTTAGCTGCCAGTTACATCAATGTTTGCCGTTGTTTTTACCGCCTGCTCGTGGCCAGATTTGGTCTTGAAACGTAATCCAATTGACCTTAGCAACAGACGTCTTCTGTTTGACTATCGATTTGGTAAATAAACCAGGTCCATTTATTTATACTATTTACATCTAAGAAAAACCTTATCAGCAACAAATAGTTATAGTTATATATGTATATGTATATATGGAAGCTGTCATAAAGCTCTTTAGCTAAGTCGGTTAGTTGCAAGACGGGCAACTAGAGTGGAGCTATGTTTGTTGCAATTGTAGAACTTGTTTGGGCCTGCTTTCGCCCCCTGTTGGAGCTGCAGTTCCTCAGTTGTTGGCACGTTTAAAAACAAAGCTAGTTTTAACACGATTCGATTTTTTGTGCATTTTTTGTAGCCTGTCGCAATGTTTTATTGTGCTAATTGGCAGTTGATTTGCTTAACATCTAGTTTGGCGCAGCAGCAGACGCTTGCGATGTCTGCGCACATACTGCTTGTAGCTCTTCTTCCTCTTCTTGTTGTGGTTGTTGTTGTGGAACTTGTTATCGCTCCACCAGCGACGCCTGTGCTTGTCCAGCTGTGGCACCTCGGCGGCCTCCAGCTGGCTGATGCGCGGCCTGCGCACCGTGTCCTGGACAAAGGCACGCGACCAGACCAACGGATCCAGGCTGGCATCGTAGTTGGCGTCGTTGTTGTTGTGGCGCCACCAGGGCATTGCCTCGCCCTGTTGCAGCAGCGGCAGCAGTGGCAATAGCCACAAACAGCAGCAAGTTGCCGATGTGTAAATAATTCCAACAAATGCACAGCGCATTTCGATGTGTGTCCCACTTGCCTCGCGTCTAAACTAGAAACTGTTGCACTTGGCCTGCTCTGCATCGCGTCTTATATGGCCTGCTCGGGGCTCTGGATTACCCTCACAGCTCAGCTCTGGGCAAATGCAACAATATCTTCTACAAATAGACCAAAAACCGTTTGCATGCTTCACATGGCTTTAAGAGCATTTACAGATTATCTGTGCCATACCTGCCTCGCACACGCACTCACACTCAAACACACACACACACAGTTGTGTTTAAGTTAAAAATGTTGCGCAGGTCAACAACAAAAATGGTGTGTGTTCCAGTTTTCCATTCTCTCAATTCAATAGTCATACAACAACAAAAGTGTTATCAATCATAAGTGTATTCAATTACAAGAAACTAGAAGAAATTACGTGACGTTGCCCGGCTCAAATTCGTTGAACCAGCGACTTCTCGCTTGCTAGTTGAACGCTCAGAATTCGCGTACCTTAAATTCTATTATAAGAAATACGAAGAATTTGCGAGCAGTCGCCCGGCTTACATTTAATGGAGTTGAACTAGCGACTTCTCGTTTTTTAGTTCAGCGCTCCGAAGTCGCATACTTTAAATTATATTATTCGAAATTAGAAGAAATTCCGCGGCGTCGGAACTTTTCCACGTTGTGGCCGCGTCTACCCTTTAAGCACATACCCTACCTAAACTCAAGCTCAGGTAGTTCAGCGCACAATTCCTATCCGTGCCTATCTTATCTACAGGCTACACTGAGACCCATTGAGTTTCGCAATGGGTCGCTTTATGTTTTTGTTGCGCGCTAATGTTTCCGTGTAAAACAACATGTGTCATTGTGAGTCGACGAACAATGGGACCCTAAATTTCACTTTCTAAACGAGGTAGTCGACTGTGAAAGAGCCAATTGCCAAGTGACTAACAAATTGCTGCCTTTACAGTTGACATAGGTATAATGTGTGTTTGTGTGTGCACAACTCTTTCGGGTTAGCTGGTCAACACTTGAGCTTGAAGACACGACTTAACCGATTCGAGTCGCCGTTGCCTTGCACTTGACACCGACTCAGACAGCGAGTCCGACTCCGATTGGCAGTGCAATTAGCGAGTGTGGCCTTTTCGGAAGACTGTGAAATATGCGCAAGTAGAGAAACCAGTTAACGGCAGCACGAGGGCAGCGGGAGCTGTGGCAGTGGCCAAATCCCAAGTCCCAGTTAGCCCACTTTCGACTAACAGCAATTGACACACAGCCTCGTTGCAGCAGCGGCAACAACTGTGTGGCATGTGTGGCACGATGCGCCAAAAGTGGCACAGCGAACGGTTGCATAAAAGCAGCCGCTGGCCGGAGTTGTGGCCACAGTACGCGACCGAAGTTCTAGACAAGATGTGCCACAAATTTTCGCTGCTGCTGCTGCTGGTCTGGCTGTGCCTCATCCTGGCCAGCGCTGTGGCGCAACAGGCGCGTCTGCGCCTGCCTCCAAGCTACAATATGCGGCTCGGGGCGTTGCCAACGCGTTTCGTAGGCAAAGGTGCCTATACGCTGTCCGCCAAGCGGGCGGCGACGCCGCCCAAGTGGCAGCAACCGTTGTTGCAGCAACAACAACAACTGCAACAACAACAACAACTGCAACAACAACAACAACAGCAACAGCGCATGAAGCTCTTCCAGTGGGCCACAATGGGCGGCAAAAAGTACAATTAATGTTCGTGCAATATATATTTAGCTAAATAAATAAAATAAATAATTTATGCAAATTGTTGGAAATAAATTAGAAGCCGGGCGCATAGCTGCGCATTTTCATACGCTCCAGCAGCCCGTTGCCTCCATCGATTCCTGCGGCCATGCCTCCAAAGTAGCCGGGCATTGGCCCGGCAGCCACCTGGCCATATAGTCCTCCAGCCTGCATGTTGATGATGTTGTTCAGCGCCGCAAAGTTGTCCAGCGTGGGCTGTGGGCCAAAGCCGGCGCCCAGTTGAGGATTTGCGTACAAGGGATTGCCGTACATGAAGCCAGCTGTGGGTGCGCCCAGGCCGAAGCCAGTTGTGGATGTGCCCAGGCCGAAGCCAGCTGTGGGCGCGCCTAGTCCGAAGCCAGGGTTGGCGCCAGCACCTGCGCCCAGACCGAAGCCCATGCCCGGCTCGCCCGGATAGCCGCTGGCAATGCTCGTCTGCAGGCCAGCTCCAGGCAGTCCGTTCAGGCCCAGGAATGGCATCAAGCCGGCCTGATAGCCGGGATACTGTGCCAGCTGCATGTTGACGCCTCCGCCCAGTGCCATGGGACTCATGGCCATCATGCCGGCCATGGGCATGGAAGCGGGCGTCATATTGGCCGTGCTCGCCGCCAGCATCTTGACATCCGCCTCCGCAGCAGCTGCCGGGCTGGACTTCAGCTGTCGCTGTTCACGTGCCTCGGCATTCACGGGCTGCGCCTGGCAGCTGCTCAGCAGCAGCACGGCAATCAGCGGCAGCAGCAGCAAGGACGACTTGTGGGCGATAGACTTCATTGTGCTAACTCTTGTTGTGGTGAACTGTTTGCTTCCGGCACGCTGGAGTCGGCTTTTATGCGAGGCTGGCGGAAACTTTCTATATTGCAATTGGTTTTCTTTTTGGCTCATAAAAATCTGACCAAAGTGAGTTTTTACGTTTTTATGACAGTAGCCAAAAAAAAAAAAAAAAATTTACAAAAAACTACAAAATTTGAAGTCGCGCTCAGTTTCTGGGTTTTGTAATCTCTTTATAAACAATTCGCACATTTTGCCTAATGCCAACCGCAAATAAGGTGCTAAATGTCTCAGACGGCGGCTGGGCAGAAAATTGGTTTTTATTTTATTTTCGTCACAAATCTGCGCTGTGGTGAATTGAACAAAGTGAAATGCGAGCGTAGTTTTTGCTCAGTTGATTGCTTTGTAAAACGAAAGACTCAGGCAACGAACTTGTTTTGATTTATCGCATGCATGCCTGAAAGTATGCTGGCAAATTTAATTGTCTCGTGACTCATGATTGGCAAATGTTCTGGTTAAATTACATCATTTGAGTTGAGTTATAGTTTAAAGCTTGTAAGCACACATTTTGATTGCTTTGGAAAACGAAAGACTTAGGCAACAAACTTGTTTTTGTTTCGCATGCAGACTCGAAAACATTCTGAAAAATTAATGGACTATGCACAGTTTGGTTGAATTTTTTGTTTAATGCACATATATTTTGTTAATATATAAATGTCAATATATTTAATGAAGCTTCGCCTAAGCTTTGCAGCTAATCGCGTGTTTTGTGCTCATATTGTAAAAATTATAATCATAAATCATTCTAAGGCTTGTTAAGACCTAACAATTGAAGGCTTTAAGTATTCAAAAAAAAGATTTTTTTTTTTAACATCTGTCTGCTTTATTTTAATTTTACTAAGTGACTTTAATTTAACTTATGTGCAAACTTACAATACGACTAAGTCTAAAGATGAGATCCTCGCAATCATCTCCGCATTCGGACTCCTCTAATTCCACGTCTCTTTAGAAAGCGTCTTGCCAGAAAGAAGAGTGCACTTTAAATGTGTTTCAAGTCTTTATATTGAACCCTTTCTCTTAAATCTTATACAGGTATAAATAGCTAGATGCTCTTGGGTAATACGTTTCTCATAAAGTGTGTTACGTCTTCATATTGGACACTTTCTCTTAATTTAATTTATATATGATTTTATGCTATTATGCTAGAGACTCTTGGGCAATAAGTCTCTCATAAAGTGTGTGTGCTTTTAGGAATTTGGATTGGGAATATTTCACTTTGTGAATACCTTGGTCTCACTTTAGGGACTATGACACGCAGAGATATATCTCGCTTCTGAAAGTGTCTGTAAAAAGAGTATAGAAAAGGCATTGTATCATATTCTTGATCTTTATCTTTATTTAATTCTCTTTAATTTTGTTGCCGGCTCAGAATAACAGGTTAAATGTCGTAGCCGTAAAACCCGTAAAAAAAATGCAGTTCATTTTCATTTCTGTGCTATTAACATATATTATATAAAACAATAAATAGTTAGTATAAATAAATACTATGTACAGCTACACCTGTGCGAATGCCTTAACTATAATATATAGTCCATATATATTACGTCTAGTTTGAGTTGTGATAGTTTTAGAAATCCGTAAATTATTTGCCAAAGCTGTCTGTGTAGGCGGCGCGTTCCCTATCCGCACGATTTGTGCGCGCCTCGTAGGAGTCGTAGCCGAGAAAACGTTGCTCCGGCGCATCGGAGCGACGATGTCCGTCCGGGGAACTGGGATTGTTGTGATGATAGCCATAGACAACGCTGCTGGGATAACAGATGTAATAATCATTTTGATAGCTGCCGCGTTTTGTGCGCACAGGCTGTCCGCTGATGTCGCTGGGCGAGCTGATGGCCTGGTAGGGATTGTTAAGAGGCGCTGCCTGGGACAGGCACAATGTGGCCAGGATGAGAGCGAATATCCAGCTGTAGTTCATGTTGTGTGTGTGTGTGTGTGTGTGTGTGGGAGAATATCTTTAATTGGAGAATTGTTTTAACTGGCGGATTTGTTGCTGCTGCTGATGTGCTGCTGTTGTAGTTCCTTGGGGTTCTGTGCCGTTTCAGTAGGCGTTCCGCTCGTTTTATACATCAATTCACATTTCACACTATGCGCTAATTAATATGGCAGACAGACAACGCTCCAGTCGAAGCACTTATTCCAGTTTCGTTGCGCATCTTTCCATTCGATTAGCACCCCGGAACGAACGCATACAACATTTCCGCCCAGGCGGCGTTTAGGGGGTGTTCCATATTACGTCAAACCCAGCGAGAGATGATCCATAAGCTCGGCATTTATGAGCTCCTAATTTGTGGTTGCTTATATATTTTGTTGCGGTAGGCGCAGCTCGAAACCCTGCGAATGAGTCAACAGCTAGATATAGTTAAATTTAGTCTGGCATCTGGTTTCGCTTAGAGATCTTAACTGCATTGCCAAATATGGGCTTTTTTTTGTTTTTGTGGAAACTAAGTATAGTTCATTGTGTTTATTTGCATTGCCGCGAAGTGCATTTCTCGCAAATAAAAACAATTAGGCGCTAATTAGCCTTTTACTATGGGAGTAAAAGGCTATGCATATATACTATGTGAATCACATTCCCCAAGTTTCAGCTATTTCCGTGTAATTCTCTCATTAGGCCAAGTGCATAATATTTGATTTAACTAATTATTCATGAATCAGCGCCGCTTTATTATTAAGTAAATCATTCCGGCGGCATACCTGAGCTGTTTGTTCCCGTGCCAGGAGCCAACAGGCACAGTTTCTATAGACAACAACAAAAGAGGAAACTTCGCTTTGCAAGTGTGGAAAATATTTGCATGAATATTTTTGTTGTTAGTCGGGGAATGTCTTCAATGTCCATCTTTTAATGTCAATCCATTCTTTTTACTTCTAAAAATAGATGTATATTTTTTGGGTGAATATCTATATATTTTTATAAAAGTGAATCGAATAGATTGACATAGATTGGCCCTTGCTTTATTTGTCAAAAGGGTTCAAAAGGTTCGAAAAGGTTAATCATACCTAAGTCTGACTATTATTTGCCGGAGAAAAGCAACAACAAAAAGTTGTTATATTCAGAACAAACCCATTTGAATCAGTTTCTATTTAATGGTAATTTAATGGCCTTTGGCAAATAAATAATTTAGCTTGAAAATTTCAATCAAAAACCAATTATTTAGTCAGTTTTATTTATTACGCTGCTTAGCCCGAAAAACTTTCGGACTAATTAAATCATTTATCACTTTTTTGTTTCTTTTGGCTGGAGAATAAATAATTTCAAGCTGTAAAACTGGTAAATTCGATTCTGTCTGAGCATATTTGACAAAAGTCTCAGTTTCAGTTTCGCTTTTTAAGCCAGGCCCCGAAAAATAATTCGCACATCCGATTTTATTTGATGAGTATTACGTTATATATTTTTTTTTGGGCAGTTTTTAATTGAAGTCAACGGAATTTTTTGAGCAACCCGTTGGAATATTTCTGGGTCTTACATTATTTTGCAGTGCGTTAAAAAAAAAATCAAATCTTCGCACTTGGCAGCTATTTTTTGATTAATAGTATTATTGTTAATGCTATTTTTGTTGTTATTTGTTTTTCGAGCGCAAAACCGGCTGCCAGAAGGCGTCAACATTTCATATTTGTGTCTCAAAAGCGCGCTTGTCTGTTTTTTCGTTTTTTCGTTTTTTGTTTTTTATTGTGATTTGTTTTGATTTTACATCAAGTTCGCCTATTTGCCATAAAAGTTGCCGCTAGCTGAGGCTGAGGCCGAGGCAGAGGCTGAAGCACTGCCGCCACCAAAGCCGCCGCCGCCGCGGCGTCCAAAGCCACCGCCGGGATAGCCGCCGCCAAAGCCGCCGCCGGGATAGCCGCCGCCAAAGCCGCCGCCCGGATAACCGCCATAGCCGCCGCCGCCAAAGCCGGGACGTCCAAAGCCGCCGCCGCCGCCGCAGCAGAAACCGCCGCCGCCGCCAAAGTGACGTGCAAGACGCACTCCGTCAGCATCATTGCCGGCCGGAGCGTCCACCTGCTCGAGTGTAAGCTGCTGCTCGACTGGCTCCAGCGGATGGGCACAGACACTGGCCAAGGCCAGGCAGCTGATTAAGGCTAGCACCACAAACTGTTTCATCTTTGGGTTAACAATTGCTTCTATTTGGGGTCGATCGCGAGCCGAGATCTTTTATAGTCGTCGACTTTTTGACTGGCCACGCGGGGATGCACCGCACGGAACCACAGAACTGCCATGTGATTCTGATTGGCTCATCCTGCCAAAACGAATCATTAGCTCCAGCATCTATCATTATTTTGTTTTTCTGTTTTTCTGCTTTCGATGACTTCACGCGGCCAACGTAATTCCCGAACCCCCAAGGCGCTCTAACAATTTGGTTGCTGCCCATCCCCCCCGCAACATCTTTAGCCCTTCACTCCCCCCCACGCTCACTTTTCGCATACATTTGTCATGTTGGCCTAGAGCCAAAGACCTACATTGTTGCAGCTTGTTGTTAACTTCTCACACTGTTTCTATAAACAAAACACTTGGCCACTTCACGTGGGGGACTCACTCTTCTAATACCCTATAAGAAATGTCAGCAAGAAGGTGGTCGGACTCGCCTTAAAGCCAAGACAAAGCAGTTAAACTGGGTTACTTATCTAAAGTAGAACATGGCAACAAGCTTTGCAGCAGCTGATATGCACGGAAAATAATATACATATTTATTAAATATATTTTATAGGGTATTTGGGTGTTGAGCACACATATTCTATACACATTTTATGCCCTTGTTAAAGGTATTATTAATCTCACGAAGTGTGTAATGCATATAAAGAGAAGGCTTTGCATAGGCTCGGCCAGATCGTAACCCTATAAGATATAGGTTTTCTGAATTGAAGATTTTTCTTTTATGAGCAACTTTTTGGTTTGAAATATTTAGGAGTCTAACTGGGCTACTATATCACATTGGAAGAATCAGTCCAGACTTGAGAATTCTTTTAAAATAACTGCAAAGTGATATCAGATTGAGGTACTATATTATGTGACTCCTATGCGAATAATCGGAAAGAAAGAAGTCTTCTTATAAAACCATTTCTAGGCCCAGCTTCTGCAGGGTATTTAGAGTTCGACGTGCCGTTTCTTCCTCTTTTCGGTATGCCTGCGTCGAGAGGCAATCGAAAATTATTAAAAACTTGTTAAGAGCTCGGATTACTGACCTTTCAAAGTGTTTGCCGAACTGCGCAGTAAAAGATCAGAATTTTACTTATATCATTTTTTATTCGGGCACAATAAAAGGCAACGTGTTTCGACACAGACATAAATTGCACATTTGTTAAAAGTAGTTAATTGGTTTTTATTTTCTTTTTTACTTAAAACAAGTGTCTGCCTAATGAGAGGATTAGCAGTAGATCAGCCGAAGCTAACTAATAAGCCAAGCTAATCAAATAATCTAATTGAGGTGTATTTAATATAGTTCAGTTTGAGAATATTTACTAAATGTTTGTTTTATGACTTTAACTAATTTCTCAGGAGTCTCTCCTAAATTAAATATGTTTAAAAGCAGAAATTGGCGATACAAAAATATTTGTGATGCCCTTTTAAAGCAGATTTCACAATTTATTATTGTTGCATAATTTTGGGCTCTGGCAATAGTCCAGTTGCTTGATCTTATTTAATTATTCACTTTTTCTTCTATTCAAATTTAAAAATATTCCATAATTTTGCAACTAAAATGTCAAATATTATCAACTTGAAATTTTCTCTCAGTGCGCACACTTTTTTGTGAAATTAATGAAATATTGTGACGTCTAGTTGACATTAGGATAAGAATTGTAAACAAAACGTAAGTCAATTTAATGAGACCGAAAACCGGTTGTTAAACAGCGCCCTAAATGACGCATTACATCAACCGACTATTAAATATAATTGGGGGATCACATGATAATAAAAATGTCAAATTTATTACATTGATTTTAATTGGTTTCTCACAGTCACAGACTACACTCGATCGAACAGGCAGAAGGAAGCATCTCCGACGCCATAAAGTATATATATTCTTGATCAGCACCAATATCCGAGTCGATGTAGCCATGTTCGTCTGTCTGTCCGTCTCTCCGTCCGTCCGTCCGTATGTATAAACGCAAGGATCTCAGAACCTATAAGAGTTAGAGACTTGAAAATTAGATGTAGATGCTCCTAGTTCCCGCGCAGATCGAGTTTGTTTCCGATAATCGATAACTTACTCCGTTTCCAAGCAATCGATAAAAATCGATATTGATGTCATGTTTTTTGGTCAATTTTGTTAAATAATAAGAGGTAGAGTCACCAAACTTGACATATAGCTTCTAAAATAGAATATATATATGCATTTGATGTTGGAAGAAGAGGGTTCAGGGTAGTCGGCAGCTCCCGACTAGAACCTCTTACTTGTTTTAGACAATATCGGTTCAGTTTTTAGACAATATCAATCCCTACTGGATAAATAAAATATCTGAGCTGAGCTTTAATTACAGCTCTTGGCCAAGTTTCTGTTTATTTTTTTGCTTGTTACCAAAACGACTCAGTTAATTCCATTGAAAGCAAATACAATTATAGACTTCTAAAGATTTCTTTAAGTTTAATTCCTATAAAACAAACAAGTTTCCTAAAAGCTAAAAACAAACTTTTGAAAAACCCGCGGAAGTTAACAAAAACTACAAAAAAAAAACGCGTTAACGGTGTGAAACAGTTTTTTATATACCCTACACTCATTACAAAGTGGGTCAGATGGGGTATATTGGTTTTGTGCGAGTGTGTATAAAGTGCAGAGTGGGACAGATTGGGAAATAAAAAATATCAAGTCAAAGTATATCCACAAACTAATCGATAGTCTGTCTGTCTTTCGATCTCAATTATAGAAAAATACTAATTAGCAAGCTTGTCTATAGGGGCATAGTAGGGCATATCATGGAATAACATATAATAACATTATATGGAAAACTTTTCTGTTTTTCAAGATATATTGAACAAGCCCATCAATTATGGGCTTTACTATACTAACAATACGTTTCAAAGCCTTATTCGATCGAACTTTTATTCTATACGCTTAGCTGTTAGCATTACAGGGTATATCATCTTCGTTCTGCTTTCTTGTGCATTTTGCTATTTTTTGATTGTTACCTATTTGGTCAATATTTGCCAAAACGTTGAGCAAGGTCAATGTCAGGCGTCTGCAGTCTTTGGAGCATGCGTGAAAGCATGGAACCAGAACCAGTCCATGACGCGTTGCCGCGACTCCGGCGCGACTTCAACGCGACTTTGGCGCGACATTGGCGCGTTTTAGTAACGTTTCAGCAGCGTTTTGTTTGCGTGTGCGTGCGAGCTGTCGCTGAATTTTGGCAACTTTCGGATGCGCTGAAGGTCTGCCAGTTTCCGTCACATATTTGGCCAAATGCTCAAGAACAGTTGTTAGGGGCGTGGCTTCTTCAGCCAGCATATAAAACTAAATTTGACGATGTACAGCAACTTTAGTTGCCAGTCGTCAGGTGCCGCGGCGTGACTTAAATCCAACGGAATGTATTTGCCGGCGCGTTTCTGCCTTCTTAGTGTGCTCTTCGCCCTGGCCGGTGGCCAGAGGAGCAAGCCGCGTCCACAGGGACGCACATTGGGTCTGCTCTCGCCGCTGCTGTTCGGCTCCGCGGGGCCATTGTTCGATGCGCCAGTGGCGCCTCTGGGCGGCGTGAGTGGAGGCGGGGTGGCGGCTGGCGCGGGCAGTGGCACGCAGTCGGATCCGTACGGTGGAGGAGGAGTTGGAGGATATGGAGGGGGAGGAGGATACGGCGGCGGAGGAGGAGGATACGGAGGATATGTAGGCGGAGGTTATCCTGGTTATGGTTATGGCAGCGTCTACGGTTACAGGCCCAACTATGGATTTGGCTTGGGTCTGGGCTATCCGGGCCCGGCTCAGAGCTATTATGGCTATCCGGGCTATGGCCTCTACAGGCCCAGCTACAACTATAACTACGGCGGCTATCAGCGACCCGTGCAATATCCGGGCAACTATTACGGCTCCAGGCCCAACTACGGCAATTACAACAACTACAACAATAATTATGGAAACAGACCTTCCTCCTACGGCAGCTACGCGACAGCCGTGCCGCCAATCAGCGCCAATCCGAGCGCGGGCGTGTCACCTGGTGTCGGCGCTGGCTCAGGCGCTGGAGCTGGAGCTGGAGCTGGCTCACAGCTCAGCACAGCGCAGGCAGCGCAGCTGGCTGGCCTGCTGGGCCAAGCGCTGGGCAGCAGCTTGCGACCCTTGGTGGCCAATGGCGGCGGCGGCGCAGCCGGAGCTGCCGGAGGCGCCAATCCGCAGGCGCTGAGCGGTCTCTTGGGCTTGTTGGGCTGAATCTAGTTCCGAATGGAACTGGCTGACAGACTAGTCTACGATTATGCGAATAGAATATCTCATTAACAAAGTATTTTTAATTTAGGTTTGTTCAATTATATTAAAAACATAAAATCTCTATATATAAAACTGTTTGGCATAGAACAAAATTTCCCAACCTCATAACTCCGTCAAATCTCATCCGATTTTCATGAGGTTTGGCTCCTTGTACATGGTTTTGTCTCTAGATCAAATTAAGATCTAAATCTGGCAACATTATTATGGGTCAAAATACACGTGAAAATTATACCCTCAGGTACCTAGAGATAGGTCAAAATTTCCCAACCTCATAACTTCGTCAAATCTCATCCGATTTTCATGAGGTTTGGCTCCTTGTACATGGTTTGGTCTCTAGATCAATTTGAGATATAAATCTGGTAACTTTTTTCCTGGTCAAAATTCATGTGAACATGTGTACTGTCCAAATTTTACTCGGTCAAATCTCAATATCTATATATATATATACTCAAAGTTTCGGCAACATTTTGTCAAATGTGAATGAAACTTTGTTGTCTTATTTACATTTTTATTTGTTGTTCACAAAAAATGATATTTTACGTTGATTTGAAATTTGCTTTGTGTGCATGACTTTGTTTAAGCACATTTTTTTTTAATTGCTTGCAAATTTTGTTGATTTTGCTGTGCGACTGGCCCCCCTTTCTTCAAAAGTGGGTTCAATGAACCAAAAAGTGATTCATATTCAAGAGCTCTCAGCTCTGGCAAATAATTAATCAAAATTTATGATTAAAGTGCTTTATTTTTGATTGAAGTCTCTTATGAAATGTGCATATCTACAAGCTGGACTAGGGCTATTCGATTCCCTTTTCTTTAGGTCAGCCTAAAAGTATGTTCTCGATTTTAAGCCAAACAAGTGGCAGCTAATTGATTAATTTTAGTATTGAAATGCTTTTTATTGAACTAAGAGCTAAGCGCTACTGATTTGTGTACCTCGCCGTGTGTGCTTGAAGCAAACAAGCCTTGTTTGCACTGCACTCTAAAAAAAACCCCTGTGGAACGCCCAGTCATTCGATGTCTGTCGAAGAAAAATTTCTCATAATTGTGAAACTCGATGGGTGCAAATAAATCTAATTGAAAACACAAAGTGCAAGACCCACCGACCTATAAAAGTGCCAACTTGCTAACAAGTCGAAGACAGTTCAGTTCTCAAGTTTAAGTTCTCAATATGAAGCTGTGCATTTTGCTTGTAATCGCAGGTCTCAGTTTGTCCTGGGGCTGGCCAGCTCAGCTGGAGCAGGAGCAGCTGCAGCAGGCGCCTGTCGTGCAGGAGCCAGAGCCCCAGCAGCAATTGGACAATGCGGACTCCATGGCCACCCTAACGGATATCGCCGATATGGGCAGCCAGCACGCAGAGGAAGGAGCACGCAATGCACGCTTTCTGTGGTTCAGCCCCTGGGGATATCGTTCCTATTACTATCGCCCTTACTACCATCCTTGGGGACATCATTATCGTCACTACTGGTGGTGAAACTTAATTTAAATTAAATGCATCAAGGTCAAGCTGAATAAATCAATTTGCAATTTATAGTCTAGTTCTTTGAATATTAACTATGTGGCAACGCCAGCATTCATACGCGGATCTAGATCATGTGAATAGCTTGTTCAGAAGAGTTAACCCCCAAGAAGGGCAAAGTACAATAAATTAAAAATTATTTTAGCTTCCACGATATTTAAATCAACAAAATGTTTGATCTTTTGATTAGCATTTCAAATTTTATAGTGAGCTCAAAGTAGCCTAATTGAGATTTCACAACATTATCCAACACTTAGTCACAGTTGCAACAATTTGCTTATCCATTATTGCTGGGGCTCAGCTGAAATTCTTACCCAAGCACTTATCGCATATTCATGTTAATTGGCTTACAGTGCACTAGACGAGGGAATCACAACTTTGTGACGTTGTCAGCACTGAAAAGTGCAATCTCATCGCATAGAGTCAATACAAAATTGTGGGTAACATCTGGGAAATAAACCAACGCACTTTAAGAGTCTATATTCTAATTAGAATAATGCATTATTGTTCTAATAATTTGGTATATACATTACTGAAAGCTATGGCCAAACAAAATAAACCGGGTTCAGTTTAAAAACGCAGTAATCTAATTCTTAACCGGCCAAATTTATAACTGAATGACTTTATTTAATTCAACTTTGTTTATTAAGATAGAACTCGTTCCACCCTGCAGTCAAAAATATTTCATAAGGTATATAATTAGCAGACATGTGCGACTATGTCAAGCACTCTTATGCATTATTTAACGATTACAGGGTATATTCTAGCGAGGCAGCCTGCTTCGTTGTTGCTATCGAAATATCAAAGGCGAAACGGGATGAGTGCAAACAATTAACTACGCCCACTTCTGTGCAAATATTTCTCATATATTTTACTTTCGATAATTATTTGTATTCGGACTTTAATTCGTTTTTTTTTTCGGCCGTTTCGCATATTTTGATCAAACTGGCATTTTTAATTGTTAATAAATAGAATGCCGACACGTGTTGCAGGTTAATTACGCTCGGTCGCGGGTGGCTTCAAATGTTCTCGACTTTTGTATTAATATTTTGTGTATTGTTGCCAGAGGGAATCCACGTAGGCTGCCCGGCGGCGCAGTTCCTTGCGCTCCTCAATTTGATAGAGTTGCGCCTGCTTGGTCTCCAAAAGTATTTGCTTCGTTTCCGACTCACGATGCTCCTCCGAGTTTTCGCTGGCGGGGAGAGAAAAAACAGTGATTAGTATTATTTAGCTAGTTAGAAGCTCAGCTGACCCACATCTCGCGCTGCTGCTGCTTCAGCTGGAGCAGCTGCTGCTCTTCCTGCTCGCTTCGCATCAGCTGCAATTGAATCCATTCGATGCGCTGATTTTGCGCTGCTTCGAGACGCGCCTGCATCAGCTCTGCCAGCTCCTCGTCCAGCTGGCGCTCCTCGCTGTGCAGCTGTTCTGCCAGTTGGCGGCGGCGTTCCTCCAAATCCTTGGCATATTCTCCAAGTCGCCGCTGCACCTTACCTTCTATTTGGGTATTTCGATTGCGTCGATTAGTACGGTTAAGAAACTCGGCAACATGCATTCCGTGACTTTGTTTGGTCGTTGGCCAGGCTCTAATCCTTGGCAACGAAACATAACATAACATTTGATATAACGCATGTTAACTCGAAATGGTTATGTTAAATATTATGTTAAGTTCAAAGTTAACTGGCTATGTTAAATATTATGTTAAGTTCAATGTTAACTGGCTACCAACATCCTTAAGCTTGGACAAATCCCAGCAGCACTTTGAGAAGGATGTGAGCAGCTTGCAGCGTCCTCATTGGAATAAGTTGAGAGTTTACTCCGCCTTGGAGGCATATATCGACAAGCCCCTTGTGAATCGAAGGGTTTGAAGGTTCAAACCCCAAGCGAATGTATTGCTTTAGCTAGCGCTTTTAAACAAAGGGAACGATTGATAGCTTTTAACTCGATTTTAAACCTAGCTAGTCTTAGAGTAACTCTCGGCAGGAAATGAGCTTGCATTCTTTTTAGGGTTTAAAGCACCCTCGAGACTAATTAATTGTATGCGCCATCAAATAATTCGTTTTTCCGCGAAACTGAAATAACGATTAATCTAGCTGAATCTGCCATAAAAGGCGCTGGCATTGCAATAGATTGCATCAGTACGGAAATTAAGTTTGTCAAATAGAGGAACGGCTTGAAGATGCGTTTGACCCTGGTGCTGCTTGTTGGAGCTCTTTGCCTGGCCCTCGGCTATGCCCTGCCGTTGGATGATAGTGCCCAGGACAATGTCCAGGATAATGGCCTGATAACATTACTGAATCTGGCCGATCAGCCCGAGGGACATGCCAACGAGGGCGATCGAGAGGCGCGAGCCTTCTGCTGTGGTGGATTTGGTCGTCGTCGTCGTGGTGGTTTCGGCTATGGTGGTTACGTTCGTGGTGGTTTCGGCTATGGTGGTTACGGTCGCGGTGGATATGGCGGTTATGGTGGATATGGCCGTGGTGGTTTCGGTTATGGTGGACACAGACATGGACATCGTGGAGGCTATGGATATTATGGACGCTAGCCTTACAAAATATTTTATGTTTCTTAGTCGTGCCAATAAATAAGTTAAACTGTGTACAACAATCCGGATCGTAATGGAATTCGAGCTCATATGAATTCCACATGTATGGTGAATATGGGCGTGGTGGATACGCTTGTGGAGCTTGTCGACGCTAACCTCACAAATTGTTTTGCTTATTTTGTTGTGCTCATAAATAAACAAGTAAGAGGTTCTAGTCGGGAGCTCCCGACTAGGGGATACCCTGAACCCTCTTCTTCCAACATCAAATGCATATATATATTCTATTTTAGAAACTCGGAAATAAACTCGATCTGCGCGGGAGCTAGGAGCATCTACATCTAAAATTTCAAGTCTCTAACTCTTATAGGTTCTGAGATCCTTGCGTTCATACATACGGACGGACGGACGGACACACAGACGGACATGGCTAGATCGACTCAGCTATTTATGCTGATCAAGAATATATATACTTTATGCGGTCGGAGTTGCTTCCTTCTGCCTGTTACATACATTTGGATTTTGCACAAATACAATATACCCTTATACCCATTTTTAATGGGTTCAGGGTATAAAAAGCCAGACTTCGTGAAAATCGGATGAGATTTGGCCGAGATATGGGGGTGGTAAATTTTAACTCATGTCTATATACGAATCTTGGGGTGAGATTTGGACATGAATTTCGACTAAAAATCGATGTTCAGATTTAAATGCCAGATAAATCTAGAGGACACACCATGAAGAAAACGCCAAACTTCGAGAAAATCGGATGAGATTTGACCGAGTTATGGGTGTGGTAATTTTTGACCCATGTCTATATACGAATCTTGGGGTGAGATTTGGACATGAATTTCGACTAAAAAATCGGTGTCGAGATTTGAATGCCAGATTAATCTAGAGGGAAAACCATGAAGAAAAAGCCAAACTTCGTGAAAATCGGATGAGATTTAACCGAGTTATGGGTGTGGTAATTTTTGACCCATGTCTATATACGAATCTTGGGGTAAGATTTGGACATGAATTTCGACCAAAAAATCGGTGTCGAGATTTGAATGCCAGATTAATCTAGAGGGAAAACCATGAAGAAAAAGCCAAACTTCGTGAAAATCGGATGAGATTTGACCGAGTTATGGGTGTGGTAAATTTTGACCCATGTCTATATAAGTAACAAGATCCCGATTTTCGATATAAAATATTTATTCGGCTCAACTGAGCACTTGAGTTTCAAATTAAGAACTAACTTAAACATAGTTAAGCTCCTGACAACGTAACCCATGGCTCGCGGCAGCGCTGGAGCATAGCCCATGGTTCGTGGCAGAGCCGGCAGCAGAACGCTGACTTGGCGCCTCGTGACCGTTCTTGCGGCGATCACTCGACGCAGGCATGCAGGTGTCAGGTTCCGTTGGCAACTTAGTTGCACAAGCGTCCGGTCCAATGACCTGGTCAGCACAATTTGTCTTGCGCGTGTTAACTTATACGAATCTTGGGGTGAGATATGGACATGAATTTTGACTAAAAAATCGGTATCGTGATTTGAATGCCAGATTAATCTAAAGTGAAAACCATGAAGAAAAAGCCAAACTTCGAGAAAATCGGATGAGATTTGACCGAGTTATGGGTGTGGTAATTTTTGACCCATGTCTATATACGAATCTTGGGGTGAGATTTGGACATGAATTTCGACTAAAAAATCGGTGTCGAGATTTGAATGCCAGATTAATCTAGAGGGAAAACCATGAAGAAAAAGCCAAACTTCGTGAAAATCGGATGAGATTTGACCGAGTTATGGGTGTGGTAATTTTTGACCCATGTCTATATACGAATCTTGGGGTGAGATTTGGACATGAATTTCGACTAAAAAATCGGTGTCGAGATTTGAATGCCAGATTAATCTAGAGGGAAAACCATGAAGAAAAAGCCAAACTTCGTGAAAATCGGATGAGATTTAACCGAGTTATGGGTGTGGTAATTTTTGACCCATGTCTATATACGAATCTTGGGGTAAGATTTGGACATGAATTTCGACCAAAAAATCGGTGTCGAGATTTGAATGCCAGATTAATCTAGAGGGAAAACCATGAAGAAAAAGCCAAACTTCGTGAAAATCGGATGAGATTTGACCGAGTTATGGGTGTGGTAAATTTTGACCCATGTCTATATACGAATCTTGGGGTGAGATATGGACATGAATTTTGACTAAAAAATCGGTATCGTGATTTGAATGCCAGATTAATCTAAAGTGAAAACCATGAAGAAAAAGCCAAACTTCGTGAAAATCGGATGAGATTTGACCGAGTTATGGGTGTGGTAATTTTTGACCCATGTCTATATACGAATGTTGGGGTAAGATTTGGACATGAATTTCGACCAAAAAATCGGTGACGAGATTTGAATGCCAGATTAATCTAGAGGGAAAACCATGAAGAAAAAGCCAAACTTCGTGAAAATCGGATGAGATT